AGATCATATCCTAGGGCACAAAGCAGCCTCAGCAAATATAAGAAAATAGAAATTAATACCATGCATACTATCTGACCACAATGCAGTAAAGTAGAACTCAACAACAAAAGTAAAGACAAAAAACATGCAAACAGCTGGAAACTAAATAACTCATTACTTAATGAAGAATGGATCATCGATGAATAAAAGAGGAAATTAAAAAGTTCCTGGAAGTCAATGAAAATGAAAACACAACCTACCGGAACCTATGGGACACAGCTAAGGCAGTCTGAGAGGAAAGTTATAGCCATGAGTGCATATATTAAAAAGACTGAAAGATCCCAAATCAATGACCTAATGATACATCTCAAACTCCTAGAAAAACAAGAAAAGCAAATCCCAAAACAAATAGAAGAGAAATAATAAAAATAAGAGCTGAAATCAATGAAATAGAAACCAAAAAACCATACAAAGAATTAATGAAACAAAAAGTTGGTTCTTTGAAAAATAAACAAGATCGATAGACCCCTGGCAAACCTGACTAAATGAGGAGAGAAAAAACCCAATTAGTAGAATCAGGAATGCAAAAGGGGAGATAACAACAAACACCATGGAAGTCCAGGAAATCATCAGAGACTACTTTGAGAACCTATATTCAAATAAATTTGAAAATCTTAAAGAAATGGACAGATTTCTAGATACATATGATCATCCAAAACTGAACCAAGAGGAAAATTAATCACCTGAATAGACTATAACACAAAATGAAATTGAAGAGCAGCAATCAAGAGTCTCCCCAAAAAGAAAAGTCCAGGACCTGATAAATTCTCTGCTGAATTCTATCAGACCTTTAAAGAAGAACTGATACCAACCCTCCTTAAACTGTTCCATGAAATAGAAAGGGAAGGAAAACTGCCAAACACATTTTATGAAGCCAGTATTACACTTATCCCAAAACCAGGCAAAGACACCTCCAAAAAGGAGAACTATAGGCCAATCTCCTTAATGAACATTGATGCAAAAATCCTCAAAATAATGGCAAACCGAATTCAACAACACATCAAAAAGATTATTCACCACGACCAAGTAGGCTTCATCCCAGGATGCAGGGGTGGTTCAACATACGAAAATCAATAAACGTAATAAACCACATTAACAGAAGCAAAGACAAAAACCACTTGATCATCTCAATAGATGCAGAAAAAGCCTTTGATAAGATCCAACACCATTTCATGATAAAAGCTCTAAGAAAACTAGGAATAGAAGGAAAGTACCTCAACATTATAAAAGCTATATATGACAAACCTACAGCCAGCATTATACTTAACGGAGAAAAACTGAAACCATTCCCTCTAAAATCAGGAACCAGACAAGGATGCCCACTATCTCCACTCCTATTCAACATAGTACTGGAATTCCTAGCCAGAGCAATTAGGCAAGAAGAAGGAATAAAAGGAATACAAATAGGTAAAGAAACTGTCAAAATATCCCTATTTGTAAATGACATGATCCTATACCTTAAAGACCCAAAAGCTTCTAGACATCATCAATAGCTATAGCAAGGTAGCAGGATATAAAATCAACATAGAAAAATCATTAGCATTTCTATACACTAACAATGAGCAAACTGAAAAAGAAAGTATGAAAACAATTCCATTTACAATAGCCTCAAAAAAAATCAAATACCTAGGTGTAAACCTAACAAAAGATGTGAAAGACCTCTACAAGGAAAACTATACACTTCTGAAGAAAGAGATTGAGGAAGACTATAGAAAGTGGAGAGATTGCCCATGCTCATGGATTGGTAGAATCAACATAGTAAAAATGTGGATAGTTCCAAAAGCAATCTACATGTTTAATGCAATTCCCATCAAAATTCCAATGACATTCATTAAAGAGATTGAAAAATCTACTGTTAAATTTATATGGAAACACAAGAGGCCACGAATAGCCAAGGCAATACTCAGTCAAAAGAACAATGCAGGAGGTATCACAATACCTGACTTCAAACTATATTACAAAGCAATAACAATAAAAACAGCATGGTACTGGCACAAAAACAGACATGAAGACCAGTGGAACAGAATAGAGGACCCAGATATGAAGCCACACAACTATAACAACTTGTCTTTGACAAAGGAGCTAAAAATATACAAAGATGGAGAAATAGCAGCCTCTTCAACAAAAACTGCTGGGAAAACTGGTTAGCAGTCTGCAAAAAACTGAAACTAGATCCATGTATATCACCCTATACCAAGATTAACTCAAAATGGATCAAGGATCTTAATATCAGACCACAAACTCTAAAGTTGATACAGGAAAGAGTAGGAAATACTCTGGAGTTAGTAGGTATAGGTAAGAACTTTCTCAATGAAACCCCAGCAGCACAGCAACTAAGAGATAGCATAGATAAATGGGACCTCATAAAACTAAAAAGCTTCTGTTCATCAAAAGAAATGGTCTCTAAACTGAAGAGAACACCCACAGAGTGGGAGAAAATATTTGCCAGCTACACATCAGACAAAGGACTGATAACCAGAATATATAGGGAACTTAAAAAACTAAATTCTCCCAAAACTAATGAACCAATAAAGAAATGGGCAAGTGAACTAAACAGAACTTTCTCAAAAGAAGAAATTCAAATGGCCAGAAAACACATGAAAAAATGCTCACCATCTCTAGCAATAAAGGAAATGCAAATTAAAACCACACTAAGATTCCACCTCACCCCTGTTAGAATAGCCATCATCAGCAACACCACCAACAACAGGTGTTGGCGAGGATGGGGAAAAAGGAACCCTCTTACACTGTTGGTGGGAATGTAAACTAGTACAACCACTCTGGAAAAAAATTTGGAGGCTACTTAAAAAGCTAAACATTGATCTACCATTTGATCCAGCAATACCACTCTTGGGGATATACCCAAAAGACTGACACAGGTTACTCCAGAGGCACCTGCACACCCATGTTTATTGCGGCACTATTCACAATAGCCAAGTTATGGAAACAGCCAAGATGCCCCACCACTGACGAATGGATTAAGAAAATGTGGTATCTATACACAATGGAATTTTATGCAGCCATGAAGAAGAACGAAATGTTATCATTCGCTGGTAAATGGATGGAATTGGAGAACATCATTCTGAGTGAGGTTAGCCTGGCCCAAAAGACCAAAAATCGTATGTTCTCCCTCATATGTGGACATTAGATCAAGGGCAAACACAACAAGGGGATTGGACTTTGAGCACATGATAAAAGCGAGAGCACACAAGGGAGGGTGAGGATAGGTAAGACACCTAAAAAACTAGCTAGCATTTGTTGCCCTTAATGCAGAGAAACTAAAGCAGATACCTTAAAAGCAACTGAGGCCAATAGGAAAAGGGGACCAGGAACTAGAGAAAAGGTTAGATCAAAAAGAATTAACCTAGAAGGTAACACACGCACAGGAAATCAATGTGAGTCAACCCCTGTATAGCTATCCTTATCTCAACCAGCAAAACCCTTGTTCCTTCCTATTATTGCTTATACTCTCTCTACAACAAAATTAGAGATAAGGGCAAAATAGTTTCTGCTGGGTATTGAGGGGGGGGGGAGAGGGAGGGGGCGGAGTGGATGGTAAGGGAGGGGGTGGGGGCAGGGGGGAGAAATGACCCAAGCCTTGTATGCACATATGAATAATAAAATAATAATAAAAAATTAAAGTACTTGAGGGTGTTAAACAATAACTGCAAAGTGCTTACAGGAGCTGATTGTTAAGTGACAATTTGGGGTTAATAATTAAAACAAATCTTTAGCACAAAAAGAAGAATCCATATTTCTAGTCACATATGTAAAAAATTATCTCCTAAGCATTTAAATTGAAATAGATGTTTTGCTGAGCTCAAATTCTTCCTAGTTTACTTTTAGCATATGGAGCTCAAGGCAAAATGGGAGCAGAAATAAGTGCTGAATCCTTAAATATCACTTATATTTCATACTGGATCACAAAATTCAGGCTTGTTTTTCTAGGAGTCAATAATAACCAAGCATCGGTAACATGACTTTGAAATTGGGCATCATTCCACTTAGTGCCAGCTTGGCAACTCCATAACAAGACAGTTTGGCAATGTTTAAGATGATTTACAACCAAGATAGCATGTTCTCCATAAAAAAATAAAATATATGTTGACAAGGATGATGCCCATAAATGAAATAGATGAAAATTACTAGTAGGTTGTCCCTAGTCATCTTATTATTTGGTGCCCTTGCAGCCTCTGTAAAAAGCCTTGTTCAGATCATTTTTGTAACAATGCTTTTGAAAATTCAAAAAAAAATTATTGAGATGAAATTTACACAACACAAAAGAAGCTATTTAATAGTGATTCCATGGTATTTAGTATGTTCATGATTTTCTATAATCACAACTTCTACCAAGTTCCAAATATTTTTCTTCATCTCCAAAGGAAACTTGTTCCATATATCACGCTCCCAGTATACCAACAATTTTGAAAATTTATTATAAAGTGAATTTCAAGACAGTTTTTTTAGATTTCAGCTAAGGTTCAAATGTTATCGCAACGTGTCAAAAGATCTCAGTCATGGCTGTGTTAATTTTGCAGTGTTTAACCATTCTTACTAAAGCGATTTTTTAGCCTAGTTTGTCATTTGGGCGGAGTTTGTAAGCAAAGGCGTTTGAAGTCTAGAATGATGGTAATGAGAAATAGGCATTAAACCTATGGGTCAATGATGAAAAAAAGAACTCAATTGAAATGGTCATGGCTTTGAAGATTGGACGCATTCTTTGCAAACAGAAAGCCACCAAAAACATAGGCCAATGATCGTGTTCCTTTAATAATGCCATTTTCTTAGAAAAAATAGGAATTAACTTATGCATAAATTGGTGGGTAGGACGTTGTAGACAGGCCTGTCCTGCCCCCACCGAACTTGAAGGTATAAAAGCGCTGTGCAGGAGGAGACCTGCATTCTCACTTGGGTAACTCGTTCTTTCACATCTATCCAAACCCCTATCAGCACTTGCAACCATGACTCGTTATTTCTGCTGTGGAAGCTACTTCCCAGGCTATCCTTGCTATGGAACCAACTTCCACGGGACCTTCAGGGCCACCCCCCTCAACTGCGTTGTGCCCCTGGGCTCTCCCCTGCACTATGGCTGTGGCACTGCCTACAGCTCCCGGAACTACTGCTTTGATGGCAACAACCTGAACAACCTGGGCTGTTGCTACGGTAGTAGCTTCTACAGGCCATGGGGCTCTGGCTCCGGCTTCGGCTACAGCACCTACTGAAGGACCAGTGGCTTTGGTGACTGCAGGAATCTTGATCAATTCCACGTGCAAAGAGCGACCTGAAGAGCAATGACTGTCTTCCTGCTTCCAGACCTGCTTGGGAGAGCCTGACTTCTTACTGTGGTCCTGCTCTTCCAGCAAGTCTCCTAGAACTCAGATGCCAAACTGATTATCGTCTCCAGCCAAAAAAAAAAAAAAAGCAAGACACACTTGAAATTTAGCAGTGAAGCATGTATCTTGCCTCTCAGCTTTGCTCTGCTCAACATCAGCATCTGTGTTTCAACTTGGGTGTGGATAGGAAGGGGTTTTACTGTCTGTCTTCTAATAAATCTGTTTCATTCAGCACACTTATTTTTGTCTTGGTCATTTATTTTACTGAGTTTTCAATGCTTTTGAGTTCATCAAACCAATAATGTTTATTTTAGCCAAAATTTTATTCTGACTTTAGATTGGGCAATCAGAATAGGGTGATACCTGATCATTTTCTTTATATTGAGATCTAAAGTTTAACTCCTTAGAAATGTCCAGTTTTTAAGTGGCCTATTTTGTACATATATAAATTACATCTTTAATATTCACCCCATCATCATCTCCCTTCCCCCTCCCTCTTCCTGGATTTCTCATGCCAAACAATCCCCCTTTTACAATCATGTCATTACTATTATTTTTTTAAATTCTAGATTCCACATATGAGTGAAAGCAATGGTATTTGTCTTTCTGAGCTTGGGCTTATCTGCTTTGAATATGGATGATCTCCAGTTTCCATCCATGTTTCCTGCAAACAGCGTTACTTCATTCTACTTTATGGCTGAATAATATTCCATTATATAGACATGTACCACATTTTCTTTATCCTATCATTAGATCTTGGGCCCCTAGACAGATTCCACAGTTTGGCTACTGTAAATAGTGCTGCTATAAACATGGGTGTGCAGGTATCTCTCTTTTATGTTGATTTACATTCCTTTGGATATGTGTCCAAGAATGGTATAGAGGGATCATATGGTAGTTACATTTTATTCTCTATTTAGTTTCTATTTTTAGTTTAGCGTAATTAAACCTACAAAGAACTGTTAAAACAGGGTGGAGGTAGAATAAAAGGAGGTTAAGAAAGAGTAATATAGATGGGGTGAATTGATCAAAAAGTACTTAATATGCATGTTGTAAACATCACAATGAAAGTCCTTTGTACAACTAATTTATGCAATGAAAATTAAATTTAAAAAAAGAAAAAAATCTATAAATTGTCGATGGACATCCTAAATATTTAAACTCCTCAGTAATGAAGGAAATATTTCTTATAATAAAGCAATAATGAAATATCATTGTTTGCCTATGGGAGAGCAAAGGAGAATGAAAATTTTCTGGGTTGTGGAGAATGGACAACATGAATTATTGCTCAGTGAGGACATTTTAGCAGTATGACCTAAATCCTTGAAAGTGTTTCTAACTGTGATGAAAGCAATCATTTCTGAGTACTAATCCTAAAGAAATACTTAGACAAGTGTGAAAGGTATGAGTGAGAGGAGAGTCAGTGTAGCTTATTTACGAAAGTAAATGATTAGAAAAAAAGAAATGTCCCAAATTTAATCCAAATGTGCCTCAACCAATAACCAGTATTTCCCTATACTGATTATGAACAGAAATGTTTCTTAGACTTCTTTCTTCTGATCATTAGTAATATAGTCCCATTTGGGCTCATTTTTCCTCTCTTACGGTTTTTATGCTGGTGAGACTTGGTTCCTGCAGACTGTTGGAGGAATTACAACTAAATGGACTTAGCTTCAAAACTCTCTATTTAGGGATTTCTAGGATTTGGCTAATAAAAGGAAGCCAACTGATAAAATTATATAGTATTTTTTCCCTTTTCTTTAGAAGGCTTTTATGTTCCCCACTTTCTTCACCTTTGATGGTACATATAGCTAGCAATAAAACAAGGCATTTATTCTTTGCAACATACTTACCATCAAAGCTCTTGACATGACATGGGATCTACACTCAGAAAATGCTCTTCATCTTGTGCACAGAGAAATTTCTCCTTTATTGAAGCAAAAATACTTCATGTTTTGAATTAAAGCCTATTTATTCTTGTGTCAAGTATTTATTACACTCTTGCCTCTGAGAAGGTGCTCACTTAATTGTTCATTGACTTAACTTGTTAAATCTCTGCTTTATAGGCGCAAAATATTGTATAGTCCATTGTAAATTTCATTCATTCATACATCAAGAATTATTGAGCTTGGGCCACTATGTTAAGAATTTTGAGGCTGTAAAAGCACCAAAGCAGTATGACGCTGGGTGAAAGCTAACTTCTTCAAAAAGAGAAATTCCACTAATCAACACCTACCTAGCGATACTTACCTGCCAACACTGAGCACTGTCCTTGACATCGGGGATGCAGATAACAAAACCACAGTCTAGGACCTCGGGAATTAACAAACTTATTTATTTATTTTATTAAAAGGGTATTTAATATTCTCCTATCAATTAGTAGGTAATTAGTGATTATCCAAAGACAGATATGCCTTACTCATTTCCTTCCCAGGACTCAAAGTAGGAGGAAGCTGTGATCAGACAAATCCTCCTGCCACAGTATTATGAGTCATAGAAGCCAAGATTTTGGGTGTATAATGTTGGACCCAACCAGAACAAGGAGTTAAAAGGTTATATTAATGAAGACCAGACATGACTTACAAAAAGGGAAAAAGGAGTTAGTACTCTCTGAGGATTGAATGATGGGTTATATAGGCAGGGAGATTCCTGAGGGCAAACCTGAATTCACCACCATGTCCATGTCCAGATTCTATTGCCATGACAGCCTCATCTTCTAAGGCCATAATGCTTTATTAGTTCGTCAAGTTTGGATTTTTTAAATTTGGACAGTTTTAAATTTGTTGGGAAAATGTTGCCATCTAGCGGCAAATAGACTTGGAATGCCCATATTTGTTAAATTTTACTATTTTTCGTTTAATTATGTCACTATATACATAATTATTATGCCTATATATACCGTAACATACACACACACACATATATATGTACACACAAACATATATAGTGTTGTATTCCCTCATGTACGTGAGAGAAAAAATCAGTCTTCAAGTGCTTTGGATTGGCAGGCATTGAACCACTATGCCCTGGTTGATACCCTAATTTTTCCATAGATATATATATTATATCTATGTTATCACGATTTACCCTAAGACAGTTATAGTTATAGTTATTGATAAGTTGGGAAGTTTAATATTCGATATAATACTGTACTAAATGAAATAGTGAAACTATACTAATAATATGAGTTTATACTGCCTCTCACCAACCCACAGTGCACACCTCAAATGATTCAACTGTGTCATAATATTTCGGCTGGTTTATTCTTCCCTGCCCCCCGCCCCCAGCCGGCCAGGATCTTCATCTTCCGTCCAGATAGTTTATGTCCTTCAATCTGGATCAGTTCCCAGCCTCTTTCTTGACCTCAATGCAATTTGAAGAAAATTAGGCTTTAATAAATTCTTTAGTAAAAATGTCTCGATTGGGTTTGTCCAACTTTTCATATGTTTAGGTTCTTAGGGTGCATTTTCGGCAGGAATAACATAGACATGAATCTGTATCCTTTTCAGCTGCATCGCATTAGAGACCTATTATGTTGGTTTTAGGCAAAAGTTATCTGATTTAAGGGACAGAAAAGACTAAAAGTGTTATGACAAAAACTTGTCTTAATGTTCTCCTGCAAGTAACTATGTGGCAATACAACAAATGTTTTTATTAGTTTATAGTATTTTTTGAGATGCAATTTCATTTCCACCAAATATTTACTAAAAGAAGAAACCAAAATTGAAAAATTGTTAAAATAATTTGCATGAGGCTGTATCAGTCATTTGTCAAGAAAAAAACTCAAGATATAATGAAGAAGAGTCTGACTTGAAATCCCAGTTCTCCACTCTAACATAACTGTAACATCACTTTTGGCATTATAGATTCGTTCTTCCCGTGAAGTAGTCTCTTCTGAATTACTTCTCCCTTAACACAATTAATTATTGATACCGTGGATTTACAGTGATTTATAGTTTATAAAATATGTAAGTTGGAAATTTATTGGAATTCTTAATAGTTATCTTGGGAGACTGGTATTATGAGAAGTTGCTTGGAGGGTTTAATTGTTCAAAGTGGGCAAGTGTTTTCCAAGTGGGAAACTGAGGTTTGGCATCAAGTTATCAAAATAAAGCCTCCATGCTGCTATTTTGTCACTATAAACAGGAGGTGACAACAGTTATGTGTTTGTAATTGATCCTTAATTGAAGTTATCCAAAGGCCTTTTAGTATTTTCACAAGCTTGGGCTGCGATTTTAAAAATAATTATTATGTTTCTTTTTTTTTATATTTTTTTTCATTTTTCTTTTATTATTCATATGTGCATACAAGGCTTGGTTCATTTCTCCCCCCTGGCCCCCACCCCCTCCCTTACCACCCACTCCGCCCCCTCCCTCCCCCCCTCAATACCAGCAGAAACTATTTTGCCCTTATTTCTAATTTTGTTGTAGAGAGAGTATAAGCAATAATAGGAAGGAACAAGGGGTTTTTGCTGGTTAGATAAGGATAGCTATACAGGGCATTGACTCACATTGATTTCCTGTGCATGGGTGTTACTTTCTAGGTTAATTCTTTTTGATCTCACCTTTTCTCTAGTTCCTGGTCCCCTTTTCCTATTGGCCTCAGTTGCTTTAAGGTATCTGCTTTAGTTTCTCTGCGTTAAGGGCAACAAATGCTAGCTAGTTTTTTAGGTGTCTTACCTATCCTCACCCCTCCCTTGTGTGCTCTCGCTTTTATCATGTGCTCATAGTCCAATCCCCTTGTTGTGTTTGCCCTTGATCTAATGTCCACATATGAGGGAGAACATACGATTTTTGGTCTTTTGGGCCAGGCTAACCTCACTCAGAATGATGTTCTCCAATTCCATCCATTTACCAGCGAATGATAACATTTCGTTCTTCTTCATGGCT